GAAGGAGGAGGAGGAAGAGGAGGTACCTGTTTCTCTATCCTCCTGTAACTTCTAAGCAAGATCAAGGGTCTGGAAAACAAGCCCTATGAGGAGCGGCTTAAAGAGCTGGGCAAGTTTAGCCTGCAAAAAAAGGAGGCTGAGAGTAGACATGGATCAAGATATGAGGGGATGTCATAGGGAGGAGGGAGAAAGCTTGTCTTCTGCTGCCTTGGACTTTTTTTACTAAATATTATTGTCTTAATGGATATGTTAATGTTTGTCGGCATTGAATCTGTCCCGGAGTGTGGTGGAGGCTCCTTCTTTGGAAGCTTTTAAACAGAGGCTGGATGGCCATCTGTCGGGGGTGCTTTGAATGCGATTTTCCTGCTTTTTGCAGAATGGGGTTGGACTGGATGGCCCATGAGGTCTCTTCCAACTCTAGGATTCTATGATTCTAAGAACAGGGAAGTCCAAAACGCATGGAGGGAGGGCTGAAGTTTGCCCATGCCTGCTCTATAGTCACAGAACTCTGGAGTTGGAAGAGACTTGAAGGGCCATCCAGTCCAGCCCCCTTTTTGCCAAGGCACCATCCAAGCCTCCCACTCTCTGCTTAGAAGCCTCCAGAGGAGGTGAGTAACTCTACACTTGCTCAGGGGCCACCCCTAGATGTCTTCCTCCTAGATTGCCTGACTGGGCAGCCCAAGACAGCTCCTGGATGGAGAGCAAGGAAAGGAAGAACTCTGCACTTGCTCAGGGGCCACTCCTAGATGTCTTCCTCCTAGATTGCCTGACTGGGCAACCCAAGACAGCTCCTGGATGGAGAGCAAGGAAAGGAAGAACTCTGCACTTGCTCAGGGGCCACCCCTAGATGTCTTCCTCCTAGATTGCCTGACTGGGCAACCCAAGACAGCTCCTGGATGGAGAGCAAGGAAAGGAAGAACTCTGCACTTGCTCAGGGGCCACCCCTAGATGTCTTCCTCCTAGATTGCCTGACTGGGCAACCCAAGACAGCTCCTGGATGGAGAGCAAGGAAAGGAAGAACTCTGCACGCACTCAGGGGCCACCCCTAGATGTCTTCCTCCTAGATTGCCTGACTGGGCAACCCAAGACAGCTCCTGGATGGAGAGCAAGGAAAGGAAGAACTCTGCACTTGCTCAGGGGCCACTCCTAGATGTCTTCCTCCTAGATTGCCTGACTGGGCAACCCAAGACAGCTCCTGGATGGAGAGCAAGGAAAGGAAGAACTCTGCACTTGCTCAGGGGCCACTCCTAGATGTCTTCCTCCTAGATTGCCTGACTGGGCAACCCAAGACAGCTCCTGGATGGAGAGCAAGGAAAGGAAGAACTCTGCACGCACTCAGGGGCCACCCCTAGATGTCTTCCTCCTAGATTGCCTGACTGGGCAACCCAAGACAGCTCCTGGATGGAGAGCAAGGAAAGGAAGAACTCTGCACTTGCTCAGGGGCCACTCCTAGATGTCTTCCTCCTAGATTGCCTGACTGGGCAACCCAAGACAGCTCCTGGATGGAGAGCAAGGAAAGGAAGAACTCTGCACTTGCTCAGGGGCCACCCCTAGATGTCTTCCTCCTAGATTGCCTGACTGGGCAACCCAAGACAGCTCCTGGATGGAGAGCAAGGAAAGGAAGAACTCTGCACGCACTCAGGGGCCACCCCTAGATGTCTTCCTCCTAGATTGCCTGACTGGGCAACCCAAGACAGCTCCTGGATCGAGAGCAAGGAAAGGAAGAACTCTGCACTTGCTCAGGGGCCACTCCTAGATGTCTTCCTCCTAGATTGCCTGACTGGGCAACCCAAGACAGCTCCTGGATGGAGAGCAAGGAAAGGAAGAACTCTGCACTTGCTCAGGGGCCACTCCTAGATGTCTTCCTCCTAGATTGCCTGACTGGGCAACCCAAGACAGCTCCTGGATGGAGAGCAAGGAAAGGAAGAACTCTGCACGCACTCAGGGGCCACTCCTAGATGTCTTCCTCCTAGATTGCCTGACTGGGCAGCCCAAGACAGCTCCTGGATGGAGAGCAAGGAAAGGAAGAACTCTGCACGCACTCAGGGGCCACCCCTAGATGTCTTCCTCCTAGATTGCCTGACTGGGCAACCCAAGACAGCTCCTGGATGGAGAGCAAGGAAAGGAAGAACTCTGCACTTGCTCAGGGGCCACTCCTAGATGTCTTCCTCCTAGATTGCCTGACTGGGCAGCCCAAGACAGCTCCTGGATGGAGAGCAAGGAAAGGAAGAACTCTGCACTTGCTCAGGGGCCACTCCTAGATGTCTTCCTCCTAGATTGCCTGACTGGGCAGCCCAAGACAGCTCCTGGATGGAGAGCAAGGAAAGGAAGAACTCTGCACTTGCTCAGGGGCCACTCCTAGATGTCTTCCTCCTAGATTGCCTGACTGGGCAGCCCAAGACAGCTCCTGGATGGAGAGCAAGGAAAGGAAGAACTCTGCACGCACTCAGGGGCCACTCCTAGATGTCTTCCTCCTAGATTGCCTGACTGGGCAACCCAAGACAGCTCCTGGATGGAGAGCAAGGAAAGAAAGAACTCTGCACTTGCTCAGGGGCCACCCCTAGATGTCTTCCTCCTAGATTGCCTGACTGGGCAGCCCAAGACAGCTCCTGGATGGAGAGCAAGGAAAGAAAGAACTCTGCACTTGCTCAGGGGCCACCCCTAGATGTCTTCCTCCTAGATTGCCTGACTGGGCAACCCAAGACAGCTCCTGGATGGAGAGCAAGGAAAGGAAGAACTCTGCACTTGCTCAGGGGCCACCCCTAGATGTCTTCCTCCTAGATTGCCTGACTGGGCAACCCAAGACAGCTCCTGGATGGAGAGCAAGGAAAGGAAGAACTCTGCACTTGCTCAGGGGCCACTCCTAGATGTCTTCCTCCTAGATTGCCTGACTGGGCAGCCCAAGACAGCTCCTGGATGGAGAGCAAGGAAAGGAAGAACTCTGCACTTGCTCAGGGGCCACCCCTAGATGTCTTCCTCCTAGATTGCCTGACTGGGCAACCCAAGACAGCTCCTGGATGGAGAGCAAGGAAAGGAAGAACTCTGCACGCACTCAGGGGCCACCCCTAGATGTCTTCCTCCTAGATTGCCTGACTGGGCAGCCCAAGACAGCTCCTGGATGGAGAGCAAGGAAAGGAAGAACTCTGCACGCACTCAGGGGCCACTCCTAGATGTCTTCCTCCTAGATTGCCTGACTGGGCAGCCCAAGACAGCTCCTGGATGGAGAGCAAGGAAAGGAAGAACTCTGCACTTGCTCAGGGGCCACTCCTAGATGTCTTCCTCCTAGATTGCCTGACTGGGCAACCCAAGACAGCTCCTGGATGGAGAGCAAGGAAAGGAAGAACTCTGCACTTGCTCAGGGGCCACTCCTAGATGTCTTCCTCCTAGATTGCCTGACTGGGCAACCCAAGACAGCTCCTGGATGGAGAGCAAGGAAAGGAAGAACTCTGCACGCACTCAGGGGCCACTCCTAGATGTCTTCCTCCTAGATTGCCTGACTGGGCAGCCCAAGACAGCTCCTGGATGGAGAGCAAGGAAAGGAAGAACTCTGCACGCACTCAGGGGCCACTCCTAGATGTCTTCCTCCTAGATTGCCTGACTGGGCAGCCCAAGACAGCTCCTGGATGGAGAGCAAGGAAAGGAAGAACTCTGCACTTGCTCAGGGGCCACTCCTAGATGTCTTCCTCCTAGATTGCCTGACTGGGCAACCCAAGACAGCTCCTGGATGGAGAGCAAGGAAAGGAAGAACTCTGCACTTGCTCAGGGGCCACTCCTAGATGTCTTCCTCCTAGATTGCCTGACTGGGCAACCCAAGACAGCTCCTGGATGGAGAGCAAGGAAAGGAAGAACTCTGCACGCACTCAGGGGCCACCCCTAGATGTCTTCCTCCTAGATTGCCTGACTGGGCAGCCCAAGACAGCTCCTGGATGGAGAGCAAGGAAAGGAAGAACTCTGCACTTGCTCAGGGGCCACTCCTAGATGTCTTCCTCCTAGATTGCCTGACTGGGCAACCCAAGACAGCTCCTGGATGGAGAGCAAGGAAAGGAAGAACTCTGCACTTGCTCAGGGGCCACTCCTAGATGTCTTCCTCCTAGATTGCCTGACTGGGCAACCCAAGACAGCTCCTGGATGGAGAGCAAGGAAAGGAAGAACTCTGCACGCACTCAGGGGCCACCCCTAGATGTCTTCCTCCTAGATTGCCTGACTGGGCAACCCAAGACAGCTCCTGGATGGAGAGCAAGGAAAGGAAGAACTCTGCACTTGCTCAGGGGCCACTCCTAGATGTCTTCCTCCTAGATTGCCTGACTGGGCAACCCAAGACAGCTCCTGGATGGAGAGCAAGGAAAGGAAGAACTCTGCACGCACTCAGGGGCCACTCCTAGATGTCTTCCTCCTAGATTGCCTGACTGGGCAACCCAAGACAGCTCCTGGATGGAGAGCAAGGAAAGGAAGAACTCTGCATGCACTCAGGGGCCACCCCTAGATGTCTTCCTCCTAGATTGCCTGACTGGGCAGCCCAAGACAGCTCCTGGATGGAGAGCAAGGAAAGGAAGAACTCTGCACGCACTCAGGGGCCACTCCTAGATGTCTTCCTCCTAGATTGCCTGACTGGGCAGCCCAAGACAGCTCCTGGATGGAGAGCAAGGAAAGGAAGAACTCTGCACGCACTCAGGGGCCACTCCTAGATGTCTTCCTCCTAGATTGCCTGACTGGGCAACCCAAGACAGCTCCTGGATGGAGAGCAAGGAAAGGAAGAACTCTGCACGCACTCAGGGGCCACTCCTAGATGTCTTCCTCCTAGATTGCCTGACTGGGCAACCCAAGACAGCTCCTGGATGGAGAGCAAGGAAAGAAAGAACTCTGCACTTGCTCAGGGGCCACCCCTAGATGTCTTCCTCCTAGATTGCCTGACTGGGCAGCCCAAGACAGCTCCTGGATGGAGAGCAGGGGAAGAAAGAACTCTGCACTTGCTCAGGGGAAGGAAGAGGAGGAGGAGGTACCTGTTTCCCGGCGGCGGCGGCGGCGAGGGACTTCTGGAGGAATTGTCGGAGTCGGGGGTCGGAGGGGGCGGCGGCGCCGGAGCCCAGGGCCAGGGCGAGCGAGAGTAGGGCCAGGGCGCACGGGAGGCGGCAGGGCAGCATGGTGGGTCGGTGGGTGGGTGCGTGCGTGCGTGGACGCCGGGCACCGGAGCCAAGGAGACGAGAGAGAGAGCCGACGGGGCGGGCAGAGAGAGAAGTCGGCTTGAGCTGCGGCTTGGCTTCTGCTGGGCTTCTGGGGTCCTCTCCGCTGGCGCCCCCCGCTTTTATGGAGCCCGGGGGTGACGTCAGGCAAGGGCACAGCCCCCCTCACTCACTCCCTCTCTCCTCCCCTCCCCTCCTTTCCTTCCCCCTTTCCACGCAGGGAGCGCTTTCACGCGCCGCTCCCTCGCCTTCGCTTGCCGGAGAGGGCGCCGACACGTGTCGGGACTTGGCCGCAGGAGGGTTGGCCAAGGCGGGTCAGAAACCTTCCTTCCCCTGAAGGGAAAGTCTCAAGGTCCACTTCTCCCGATCAAACCCACTCTGGATGGTCAGCACTGCAAGCCAAACTTCTCAGGCCAGGGATTGAGACACTGTTGTTGTTCATTCGTTCAGTCGTCTCCGACTCTTCGTGACCTCATGGACCAGCCCACGCCAGAGCTCCCTGTCGGCCGTCACCACCCCCAGCTCCTTCAAGGTCAGTCCAGTCACTTCAAGGATGCCATCCATCCATCTTGCCCTTGGTCGGCCCCTCCTCCTTTTACCTTCCACTTTCCCCAGCATAATTGTCTTCTCTAGGCTTTGCTGTCTCCTCATGATGTGGCCAAAGTACTTCAACTTTGTCTCTAGTCTCCTTCCCTCCAGTGAGCAGTCGGGCTTTATTTCCTGGAGGATGGACTGGTTGGATCTTCTCGCAGTCCAAGGCACTCTCAGCACTTTCCTCCAACACCACAGCTCAAAAGCATCTCTCTTCCTTCGCTCAGCCTTCCCTAAGGTCCAGCTCTCACATCCGTAGGTGACTACAGGGAATACCATGGCTTTGACTAGGCAATGGATCTTGGTTGCCAGTCTGATGTCTCTACTCTTTACTATTTTATCGAGATTGGACATTGCTCTCCTCCCAAGAAGGAAGCGTCTTCTGATTTCCTGGCTACAGTCTGCATCTGCAGTAATCTTTGCGCCTAGAAATGCAAAGTCTGTCACGGCCTCCACGTTTTCTCCCTCTATTTTCCAGTTGTCAATCATTCTTGTTGCCATAATCTTGGTTTTTTTGATGTTTAGCTGCAACCCGGCTTTTGCGCTTTCTTCTTTCACCTTGATTAGAAGGCTCCTCAGCTCCTCCTCGCTTTCGGCCATCAGAGTGGTGTCATCTGCATATCTGAGGTTGTTAATGTTTCTTCCAGCCATTTTCACCCCAGCTTTGCATTCCTCAAGCCCCGCACATCCTCGCATGATGTGTTCTGCCTACAAGTTAAAAAGGTTGGGGGAGAGGATGCAGCCTTGCCGCACGCCTTTCCCAATCTTGAACCAGTCTGTTGTTCCATGGTCAGTTCTGACTGTTGCTCCTTGGTCCTTGTACAGATTCCTCAGGACAGAGACAAGGTGGCTTGGGATGCCCATCCCACCAAGAACTTGCCACAATTTATGATGATCCACACAGTCAAAGGCTTTAGAATAGTCAGTGAAGCAGAAGTAGATGTTTTTCTGGAACTCCCTGCCTTCCTCCATTATCCAGCATCCGGATATTGGCAATCTGGTCTCTCGTTCCTCTGCCTTTTCTAAACCCAGCTTGACCATCTGGCAACTCTAGTGATTGAGATTGAGACACTAGATGAGCCTGAATGTCAAAACTTGCTCATGTTCTGAATTGATGTGCTCACCAGACTCAGCCCCACTTCATCACCACATCAGACTGGGGTCGCATCATCACGCTGCCCAAGAGCTGTATCCTACAGTTAACACATGTGTGCCACTTGCGCCCCTACCTTGGCATGCCAGACTTGGCCAGGGTGGTCCACACTCTCTTTACATCCAGGATAGACTACTGCAATGCATCTTATGTGGGGTTGCCCTTGAAGACTGTTCAGAATATTCAAATAGTTCAATGAGAGGCATCCAGGTTAATAACTGGGGCGGTATACAGGGAACACACTGCTCACCAGACTCAGCCCCACTTCATCATCACATCAGACTGTGGTCACATCATCACGCTGCCCTACAGTTAACACTTATGTGCCAGTTGCGCCCCTACCTTGGCATGGCAGACTTGGCCAGGATGGTCCATACTCTCTTTACACCCAGCATAGACTACTGCAATGCATCTTATGTGGGGTTGCCCTTGAAGACTGTTCGGAAGCTTCAAATAGTTCAACAAGAGGCAACCAGGTTAATAACTGGGGCAGCATACAGGGAACACACTGCTCACCAGACTCAGCCCCATTTCATCATCACATCAGACTCTGGTCACATCATCACGCTGCCCAAGAGCTGTATCCGACAGTTAAGTTAAAACTTGGGTGCCAGTTGCGCCCCTACCTTGGGAAGCCACCATGGTCCACACTTTCTTTACATCCAGGACAGACTATAGCAATGCATCTTACGTGGGGTTGCCCTTGATGACTGTTCGGAAACTTCAAATAGTTCAACGAGAGGCAGCCAGGTTAATAACTGGGGTGGTATACAGGGAGCACAATGCTCACCAGACTCAGCCCCACTTCATCATCACATCAGACTGTGGTTGCATCATCACTCTGCCCAAGAGCTGTATCCTACAGTTAAATTAAAACTTCTGTGCCAGTTGCACCTGTACTTTGGGAAGCCAGACTTGGCCATGACGGTCCACACTCTCTTTACATCCAGGATAGACTACTGCAATGCATCTTATCTGGGGTTGCCCTTAAAGACTGTTCAGAAGCTTCAAATAGTTCAACAAGAGGCAGCCAGATTAATAACTGGGGCAGTATACAGGGAGCGCACTGCTCACCAGACTCAGTCCCACTTGATGGTCCACGCTCTCTTTACATCCAAGATAGACTGCTGCAATGCAACTTATATGGGATTGCCCTTGAAGACTGTTTGGAAGCTTCAAATAGTCCAATGAGAGGCAGCCAGGTTAATGACTGGGGTGGCATACAGGGAGCATACAACTCCCATGTTGTGTCAGCTCCACTGGCTGCCTGTTTGCTACCAGGTACAATTCAAAGTGCTGACTTTGGCCTATAAAGCCCTAAACAGCCCTTGCCCAGTTTACCTGTCCGAAACATATCTCCCTTTACCGACAGCCACAAAGACTAAGATCTTCTGGGGAGGCCCTGCTCTTGGTCCCGACACTGTCACAGGCACACTTGACGGGGACAAGAAACGAGGCCTTCTCAGTGATGGCTCCCTGGTTGTGAGATTAGATCAGTCCCCTCCTCTCATCCTTCAGAAAAATGGTATACACCTGGCTGTGGGACCAAGCCTTTGGGGCAAGCAATAATAAGAAACACACTCCACGACAGAGCCAGCATGGTGTCCTGAGATGGTTATAAATAGCTGATTTTAAAGTAGATATAACTGATTTTAATGTTGTGTATATTTATAATTATTTTATGTCCCAGTATGGAATGCTTGCCCTACATATGTTGTGCTCCACTCTGAATCCTTTTCGGGGTGAGAAGGGCGGAATATAAATGTTTCAAGCAAATCCATACAGTTATCAAAACATATAAAACAAATATGGAAGAATGGATCCATTGCAACAAAGAGATGGCTTGGTTTGTGTTGATGTATAATGGTGAGGCTGCGGATGATATTTCAGATCTTATGGACCACTGGTGGACCAAGGACCACATGTAGTGACCCACTGGTATATAGGATAAAGCAGGCATGGACAAACTGTGGCCCTCCAGGAATTTTGGACTTCAGCTCTCACATTTGTGGCAGCTGGAGCTCAAAATTACTGGAGGGCCACAGTTTGCCCATGCCTGCTCTATCCTATATACCAGTGGGTCACTACGTGTGGTCCATGGACCACCAGTGGTCCACAAGAACTGAAATATCATCCACAGCCTCATCATTATACATCACTCCTGACACGACAAAAAAAACACACACACACACACACAAACCAAGCCATCTCTTCGTTGCAATGGATCCATTCTTCCATATTTGTTTTATATGTTTTGATAATTGTATGGATTTTTTTGAAACATTAATATTTTGCCCTTCTTGCCCCGAAAAGGACTCCTCACAACCTCTGAGGATGCTTGCCATAGATGCAGGTGAAACGTCAGGAGAGAATGCCTCTAGAACAGTGGTTCTCAACCTTCCTAATGCTGTGACCCCTTAATACAGTTCCTCATGTTGTGGTGACCCCCAATCACAAAATTATTTGCATTGTTACTTCATAATTGTAATCTTACTCCAATTAAGAATCATAATGTAAATATCTGATATGCCGGATGTAATTTCATTCACTGGACCAAATTCAGCACAAATATCCAATACGCCCAAATTTGGATACCGATGAGGTGGGGAGGGATTGATTTTGTCATCTGGGAGTTGTAGTTGATGGGATGCATAGTTCACCTACAATCAAAGAGCAGTCTGAACTCCACCAATGATAGAATTGAAGCAAACTTGGCACACAGGGCTCCCATGACCGACAGAAAATACTGGAAGGGTTTGTTGGGCATTGACCCTGAGTTTTGGAGTTGTAGTTCACTTACATCCAGAGAGCACTGTGGACTCAAACAATGATGGATCTGGACAAAACTTGGCACAAATACACAATATGCCCAAATGTGAACACTGGTGGAGTTTGGAGAAAATAGAATCTTGACATTTGGGAGTTGTAGTTGCTGGGATTTGTAATTCACCTACAATCAAAGAGCATTCTGAACCCCACCAATGATAGAATTGGGCCAAACTTCCCACATAGGACCCCCATGACCAACAGAAAATACAGTGTTTTCTGATGGTCTCTGGCGACCCCTCTGACATCCCCTCGTGATCCCCCCAGGGGTCCCGACCCCCAGGTTGAGAAACACTGCTCTAGAACATGGCCATATAGCCCGAAAAGACCTACAACAACCCAGTGAAAACAGATATTTGTCCTATCGATTTCGGGAAGCTCCCAAAAAATGGATCGGGACCCCCACCAAAAGGCAGGACACAAAATGGACCAATGTTTACATCAAATGCACAAGCCTATTAGGAATGTCAAATAAGCAAACAAAATAATTAAACAGCCTCATCTTTGCATTACAAACTATGCAAAGACAATGATGGATTTGTCA